GAGTATATGGTATTTCACATTTTTATCAAGTAGGTATAACGTATTTCGTTCTTTAGGTATTCGGGTAATTTATTATAATATCGTAAGTAATTATAATATTGTGTAATTATTTACCCACCGAAAGTGTTTATAAATGATTTCTGCTGAAGATTTCGTTTACCAGATATCAATATGTAGTTTAATTTGTTAAATTTCTATGCCCGTATACGGTGAAATTGAAATTCATATTGATTTGTATATTTGCGTATTAGACAATGTAAATATAAAAAAATATGGACCATTGATAGAAACTGTTTGTACAAAGAACATGATTATTAAAAATTAAGATCGGCATTATCTTATTTTGATCGTAGTCTGATTATTTGAAAATACATAATTCATTAAAACCACGTTTTAATTTTACAAAACACTAAATTAATGACATGACGTAGGTATGAAAAAAATGTAGTCAGCTCCTGGTCTACAAATAAAAGAAAAACATTCGAAATTTGTATTATAGCTCCCGGATGCTTACCATACCGGGGGAAACTATATTTTAGAGATTGATTGACCATGCATTTCTGACGATTAAATAACCTATAAGCGACAGCCTTACATGTTTAGGCTTTTATCTCTCGCTTGTGTCTCGAGTGCACCTACTTATACTTATATTTATAATATGACATTATTATCCTGTACAAGCATACTGTATAAGAGAGTCAGAGGCGTTGTAAGTGCTGATATAACTCTAATTGTGGCATAAATTAAGTAGTATTTAGCTGAATAAATAACTGTCACTATTGCAAGTTCTTCTTTTAGATTTCCATATAATACAAAAAAAATCGGAATGCTGGTGACCTTCAAGATGTTTTTAACTACATAAGCAGATTGCCAATCCTAATAAAAGTAGCTCTAGCTAGGAGCATGCGTTATTTATTTATTGATACTTCTTGCACAAATGTACAATAGCGGATTTAATGCCGTAGGCATTTTATACCAGTCAACCTTAGCGTGATGTTTAGACAAACAGTAACAAACAGTTTACTATTGATCCTTCTCATGTCTAATAGGAGTTTATTTCATGAAAGAATAGATTTGACGAAGAAAGAAGAGCGAACAATTTTGGCAACAGCGGCCAAACCTATTTCATCATTTCGTGAACCGCTGGATTTATACCACAATTGCACCCACAAATTTGTTTTTAGGAAATAGTGATTTGCATGCTTCTAGATTATGAAATAGGTTCTAATAGATACTGTGGTGGTTAGTGAGACTTGACGAAGAAAGAAGAGCGAACAATTTTGTAGTGATGAGATGGACATGTGATTTATTACTTGTACATGTGATCTACATTGCAAACTGCTATCAGTTTGCTGTAATTTTGCATCAAATAAACTAACCCATTAGGATCATGTGGGGTGTATAAATGCTTAATTATAGAATATTAATGATGTACAGAAAGAAGCTTTGTAGCATTGTTAATTGTAGTTACAAAATAACAGTTTGCATTATAGTTATTCACATGTTCCTCTAAAAAATACATATAATAACATTATTACACGGGCAAAAGCGTAATTTCATGGCTGGTGAAGTGTACTCTAATAAGTGAGCATCTGTAAATGCTTAAGTTACCCATTAGGTCTTTTGTGACGTCCTATAATGCAGTTTTGTACTTACTGGGTAGTGTGTGCTTGCTAATATATTGGAAATTGTTCCAACATTCAATAAACATTTTCCAAAAGTGTATTAAAATGTAAAAAAATATTTTTTTTCAGTATTGATTATTATATTTTTTTTATAAATAAAAACATATTTTTTCTCAGAACTCTCTCAATACTCATTTTAGAAATAGCTAAAATGGAATTCAAGATAAAAATTGTAAACATAAAGAGTTACTTGTACAATACTCTAGTCTATTAATTACGTATTGTTGTTAACACGTGGTAAAATTCGTATCTGATAATTATAGTTTAAAGTCAAATGTGTATCAGATACATTTGGAGGAAAGTAACTATATGGAATAGTATACGTAAAATGTGAAGCTCCTGCGAATTCTTTAGCTGTTAATATTTGCACAGTAACGTTTTTGATAATTCGATTTCTTAAACTTATTTCACTGAAACATTATATTTGCCACTTGATTATTGAACAAAAAACATCATTGATACAACCGAAATCTAAGCGTCGCATAATCCTATTAATATTATAAAGGCGAAAGTTTGTAAGTATGGATGTATGGATGTTTGTTACTCTTTCACGAAAAAACTACTGGACGGATTTGGATAAAACTTTACAGCAATATAGGTTATACATCAGAATAACACATAGGGTACTTTTTACTGGGAAAACTTCTCACTCCCACGGGATACCGACTTCCACGCGGACGAAGTCGCGGGCGTCCACTAGTTCTTCCATACTTTAATCTCATAACACATATTGTAACTTTTTAAAGTAAAGGAATTCGCAGGAGGGTTTGTGTATGGTAAGTATACCACGAACGAAAATAAACCACAAAAAGGTAATTATGTACATTTTATTATTAAATTACCCTAAAAACTACAAAATAAATAGATCAGTCAACAAAATTGTACATCATAGTAAAAAAAAAACACAATATAATTACGAGTGTGTTGCGAAATTATTTTGGTTTGACAAATGTAAATAAAATAAAAAATAAAAAAAAAACAATAAAAAAGCTAGTTGTCTGGTAGATTTAGCGGAAAGTATCTATATGAAATAGTGTACGTAAAATGGAACAGTAAAATTATTTTCTAAATAATCCTTAATATGATTCTTTTTTGCATAGCATTGCTAAAGGATGCTAAGTTTATGGACTTTGCCTCTATTATTTACATTAATTCAATTTTATTTAAATGTTCCATTTTCGATATATTATTTGGTTACTTTCCTCTACCCCTTGAGACTGCAAAATAAGAATTCTGTAGTTGTTCTTCATTCCTCTCTCTTATCAAGAGGCACAAAACCAATTTCATAACTTCGTAAACCGCTGGATTTATACCACAATTGCACCCACAAATTTGTTTTTTAGAAAATAGTTATTTGTATGCTTCTAGATTACGATATAGGTTTCTCATAGACACTGTGGCAGTGGTTTGTCTCAATCTACACAATTTTGAAATACTTTAAAAATATGATTGGATTCTATTAACCCAAACTTTTTAGATTACACCGGAATTGCTAATGCCGATTGCAAATAATTATTTTCTGAACATTATAGGAACCAATGCATATAAACAAATATAAGACAGTTAAAAAAACAAACCAATACATATAAACGGAACACACGCTTCATATGATAATAACCTCATAATTTATGTATTTTAATATCACGGCTAATCATTTATTCAATTTACGATTTCTGTAAAACATAGTTCTGTAAACTATACATTATATAGAGAAAAAATATACTAAAGGGACTTTTGCATTTCTCGTTTCACAAAATTAGTTATCCAGCTCCATATGAAAAAAAGATAAAGCAATATAAAAAAAAATCCTAAAAAAATATTTACGAGTGGTATGCCCATGCGGGAATACCACTCGTAAATATTTTTCATCACACACCTCACATAAATGAAAGTGTAATATTATTGGTTACAGAATCTGTGTTGTCCTCTTTGTAAGTAGATAATCTGGTATTTCTGGGTCACACAGTTTGTACATCATAAATGTACGAGTATTATGAAATAAATAATATTTGCATGCCTACTACATTATCCAAATCATAAACTGAAATATAGTAGCCAAGACAAAAATATTCTAGTGTTTCAAAATGAAAATAGCACAATTAAAGGAGTACCAATACAAAACTAGACTCATTACAACATTTTTAAAGGCCATACGTTACTAATGACTTTTAAACCATCATTAAGTCATATAGAAGAGTCTATATGTAGTTTTTATCATGTGGGGTAATGGAGCGCAATTCCTGTTTAAAGTTCTGGAAAAATTAAAGTAACGAAAGAAATATGCTTTGATTTGTAAATTATCTAGGACTCTTGGAAGTCGCTTTCTGTGTCCGAAGAGACATTCAAGGTATAAGGTTGGAATTGGAAGCCTTTAAATTTTTTAAAGAGCAACCTAGCTATGCAGACATTTAGGGCAGAACACCTGGTTTTGTGACAGCTTCCTTTTTGGCTATTTGGCGGTCATCTAACTAACTTATAGCCAAATAATTACAGACTACCGCGAACGGTTATTAAAATGGTGCATTATGGCAAAACTAATACCGTTGACAGCTATCATGTACCAAAGTTCACTTCCACGTAACTCTTAAAATGGTCTAACGTAGGTCACAATCTTAAAATTGCCAAAACCGGGTCATACTTACGAGACTTTTATTTGTACCCAACTACAGGTGTAGTGATCTACACCTTTACATAATTTATGCAGTTGGGCTAGTTGAAAGACGACATTCAAATAGAAGCAGATACTCTACGATGCCTTATGTTAATTACTCACAATCATGCGCGTTAGTAATTAATAAATTATAGCATGGATAAATATGTTTAAATCGTCATTTACAACTTTCGTACATTATCCGCAGTGTTCTTTATGAAAATGATTGTTTCGTTGGTATAGTTTTGTTCGATTTTATCGTCTGGTTAAAGTAAATTTAGAAATAAGTAGTAGGACAAGTATTATTTTTACTCTGATGAATGCTTAATACTATGTCAATTGCTGAATATTTGAAATTCGGTATAAATTCGAACAATACTAGTACTTTAACGGTCTGTTGCACAAACGTACGTTAAGGTTTAATGACGCCTTATAGCTCTAATGAATGTCAAATTTGTATGGGTAAAGTGCTTTAAACTAATGAAAATTTTAATGGACGTTTGTGCAACTGGCTGTAAGATATATCCATGTCAATAGAAATGGGGTTCTTTTCATCGATCTATTCTAGATAGAGAAAGATCTTTAAAAAACGTTTCGTTCAAAACACTTTAAAAACACCTTTTTTGTAAAATAGATAGTCACGAACATCCGTCTTCGTATTAAAGTTAATTTGAAACGAGTACGGCTACAAAATCGTCTCCGTTTCTTTGGGAGGGGAACTTCGTTGATTTAAAGGCTGCTGCGCCGATGCCCTTGCTTCTCCCCGTGAATGTCGGGAAGGGAAAATTGGGCACTCCCCGGTGGCGAATATCAAATACAGGATCGTTGAATCCAGTCTGTAAAATAACAGTAACACATGGATCAATGATATTTTGAGAAACATTATAAACACTATATATAATGAAGAATGCTTAAAGAATCTACTTAGTCCTAATCTACTAAGTCACTCTGAGATGGGACTCAGATCCATGACCTTTCGCAATTCGGGCGACTGCTCTTACCGCTAAGCTAAGCAGGACCTAGCAGGATTGATAAAATTTTCAAGCACTTGTTACATTACATACTTTTAGGCAATCCACCCAAACCACCCAAAAGAAATATTTTTATAAATATTTCAACTTTCGATAAAGATTAAAATTTGTTCCAATTAATATATTTGATCAATATTACATTTATTGAAACGCCTTTGAATTGTGAAGAAGTTACGTTAATATTGGCAGATTTTAATGACGTCATTTTTTTTTAATAATCTATGTAAAACAATAAGTAAACACGTAACTATAGTTTAAAGTTTAAATTTATCAACAAATCTGTATCATAAAATATTATTTAAAGAAATATTAACTCCATTCTAGTTTTTATCATCAAAAATATCAATATGCCATATTGATATGGAAGGTTCAGTTACAATATTTTTCCATATTTCGCCGAAGCCCAATATTATATGTCTGTCACCGTTGATGTATGAGGAAGACATTGCACAAATTTTATTGGACTTCAGATATATAGTACATTAGCAGAATTGGCTTACTGGGTTTTCTAAAGATTATGTCAGTTTATATTTGAGCTCAATTTGCCAGTTTGGAGAAGAAATTTTCATAGTCGTTTTTCAATGAACCTCTATTAGTGTGCCTTTCTCGATCACTTATAGATCGATCAGTCAAACAACTTTGCCTTTTTATAGAATTCCGATAATATTTAATTTTGTTATTTTTTTTATATATTATCTTCAAATATTGCACTATCAAATTATTAGAGCCAATTTTCTTTGACACGTTATGGGCTTGTGGCGTGACGACAATGAACGAAGTGAAAAACTTTCGAAACAAAGAATGAGTGCTTATGGAGAGTTTGAAAGTTGTACGAGTACCAGTGATAGAACATTGAGAGCCAGCAAAATCGTTACATGTGATAAAAAGGGTTATGATATGAATGTGAGAAAAATTATATGTGTAAGATAGGATTGAATGTTGACAGGGAAAAGTGTGCAAGGAGAATACATATTACGCCGACTGCAATTAAAATCATTATGAAGAGGCAATTTTTTTTTGCAATTTTAGAGTCCTTAACTCTTTCTGTGCTACAAGATAATTTATCAGATATCTAAAATAGATCATCAAATAATGATAGCCTAGAAAATTTTAGCGACCAATTGCGAAGATTTAATACCTATACAATAAACTAATAAATTATAATTGAATGATTGTTAAAAACGAGATTTCTATCAGTAATCTAGATTTTGATGAGTTCCGAACATTTCGACTCTGTTGTAAGCGCAACTCAACATAATGCGGAAATGCGGGAAATTAACATATAATAAACAAGATACATGGTAGCAATCCCGTTTTTAGCAATCATTCTGATGTTAAAGATCACGAAAGTTTAAAATAACATAGTTATAGTCAGTCATATTTCTTTTTGCTTCTATTTAAAGTTATAAGATAGCAAAAATACGTATATTATATTTGATTAAAATAGCGACGCTAAGATGTCTCTCTCGTATATTGTATTGTTTATATTTGATTAAACACATATACAATTATTACGAGTATATTTGATTAATTTTAAAATATTCTTAGTGAAAAAAGCTTTTTTTTTAGATATTTAGACAGAGTGGATTTTTTAAACATTTTTCTTTAAGAATATAACTCACAATGACTTTAATGAAGTGACATTTAAAACTTATTTATAGGTTTACAATTGTATTGTACAGGAAGTTTATATATAGCAATACTTCTTTCAACCCAGAAACGAGTGTCCGGTTTCTTTGAGATTATGGCCTGAAAAAGCGAGTTTACTTTTTTATACCAATACATGTACATTATCATTGTGAGATATCAATACGTCCAATTTTGATTTAAAAAAGGACAAGACTTATAGGTCGACCGCATATTGTTTTTATATGTTACGAGATATCTTTTAACCGACCTTTAAATCGAAAAGGAGGATATTATCTGTTCAGTGGCGATGTTTGCTTTTTTGTATTTTTTCTTATTCATACTAGTATATTAACAATCCAGTTCTCTCAAATATATAAGGTTTGAATTAGTAATATTTTATTAACCGACTTCAAAATCGATAAGTAGGAGGTGATGTATTTTTATGTCTCTCTCAAAATTCTTTCTTTATTAGACAGCTTAACGGCCTTTGATTATTCCACTTAAATTTTATTGAAATTGAATCAGTAGTTTTTATTTTATAACAAAACAAAATATGCTTTTCTTTAAATATTATCCAAATATTTAGGTGCCTAATAATGTAATTCAATGTATTGCGATAATATATGTATAATGAATATTATGAAATTTAATGGTAATGTAAATCAAACAAATTTAATTGTAACGTATAATAATAATGTATCAAGAATGAGATGTGTAATTGTAATGTATAACAATAACGAATCAAGAATGTAATGTATAATTGTAATGTATAATAATAATGTAATTCAATCAAATAATCCATAATGTATGACAATAATATATTAACAATGTAATTAGTAATGTAACTGTAATAGAATTAATGACAAATAGAATTCGGAATAATGGATTAATAATGTAATAGAATTAATAAATATAAGATATAAATTGTAAATTGTAACAAATATAGATATATGGAGGTAATAATTATAAGATTGAATACATGTGATGAACAATGATGGGATAATTCAATTATGAAATATTAAAATGTAACAAAAACTTAAATAAATGTAACAAATGCTCAAAAAACAGGTCGTTGTGTTGGATGTAGAGGTGTCTTTAAAAGCTTTAAAATATATATATATATTTAGGTGACATTTTAATTTACAGCGAAAATTTTGCATTCATTCAAAATCTGATAAGAGGAGATGTATGTAAATATGTAAAATAACAATAATTGGCAAACAGTTTCGTAACAAAGTAAAGGCAGGGTTTGATAATTAACTTATGATAGTTAAAATTCAATGGTTTTTGATACCAAAACGTCTTGACAAAACTTAAGGTTATAATCAGTCAGATTGACGAAATGAACTCAAATAGTTCTGACGTAGTCATCATAAAAAAGAGCGTTATTTGATGAATAGTTTATGCTTACATCGCTATGAGGGAATCCATTGAGTGAATTGAATCCGAACGCTGAAGAAGCGCTCTGGCTGCCAGTTGGACCACCGAAGCCTCCTGAGAGCGCTGACGATGAAGATGCCGCTCCGGATAAACCAGAACCGCCGAATGAGGCTGCTTGGCTGCTCGCCTGACTGCCACTGAAACTGTTTAAATGTGTATTATTGTACCAAATCAAATATAAATAATTTACTTAGCAAATAACAATCGTCCACAGTGACACTATTTATTATACATAGTTATATTTTGCCACTATTACCTAACGTCTTCATCACTAGCATATAAAACTCACTATTATGTTTATATTTTAGGGTTAATTATTCAAAGTTAAATTTTAATTTACCCATTAATGTGAATGTCCACAATAATATTTCTTTTTTTGACGTTATAAAAGTTTATTTATTTATTTCAAGAAAAAAATCCACAGCAAGTTTTTATCTAAATAAAAGTAGAACAATTTTAACATATCTTAATGCCAATTTAATTAAAAAAATAAAATGTTGTTTCATAAATTCTCGTCTGTGCGTTGGAAATTATTTAAAGTCAAGAAATAATGCTTTATGTTTATCTCGGTTTCTCAAATATGAAACTCTTTATAAGATTCCACGTTTTATTATCTTGATAATAAAATCTTGAGGTATGTAAGTATCTATCCAATTTCACTGAATAGACATTCACATTACTATTATAACGACAATAATCATTTAATAAACTTCTTCTCAGCTTCACTGTGATACATAGGTCATTATTTGCATAAAGATAACAAAATATCTACAATAAAATACCATTACAATTTAAAGACCTCCCTATTAAGCAATACAGAAGATTGTTACGTCGATGGCTGTTGAACCATACCTTCTGTACAGTGGAAGATTTTTTAAATCACAAGGAATAGCATAGTTGTGGTCGATGCAGAGTTTAATTAAAGGCTCTAGTAGTTTATAATTAATGTTAAAGTTGACAATTCACAAAATTATTTCAATAAATGTAATTAATTTAAATGAGTTTAATATCTTAATTAATATTTATTATTATTTAAAATGGACATTGTTTTGAAATCCAGTTGAACTGACATTTGCATGCTAGTGAAATAATATGGCTAAATAGGTCTAAGTACGTTATTGAAGACAACTATCCACTTCATTGCAATCTACCCTATTTATAGCAAATAAAGAATTATTATTATTATTAAACGTTACAGAGTTTTTCTAAATCGAGACGACATACTCTTTTTTGCAAATAATGTATTGATATAGTTTATAAATCTATCTATTTCAGATCTTTTGATTGTTTGTCAATATTATATAAATATAAATTAACCTGTTTAACCATACATATTATTGAAAAATGATAGCAAGTTCTTACAGCACCATAGACTACCCACTTTTTAATTGTATCCTGTATGTCATGTTAAGGTTGACTAGAATAAATTATTTTTTACCAATAAGGCCGTGTATTGTACTGTTTGTTATATAATTATGTCTTGTATTACTTTGTATATGAACAATAAAGAGTAGATCATTCATTTATTCGATTAATATTTAGTTATATTTTAATTATTTACTTAAATAACTTTACGCTCCTCTTTGTGGAAAACAAGGCATTGACCTATGCTGATATGTTGTATAAGTAGTTTTTAAGGTCAACGTGGCGCATCGCTCAAGAAGTTAAGTATAATATAAAGATGGACCGAGTTCTAAAGATGTCAACGCACTCATAAATATAAAAGTTTAGTTTACCATGATAATAATTACTACTAGAATAATTAAAAATATAATTTTTAACTTCAAATTATCTAACGAATTTTTTATTGGATAAATAAATATAGGTAAGTAACTTTAAAGAATAATCACATAAATATTTGTTCTTTATATGATTCCGATCCGAGAATGTTGGTTTCGCAGATAAGCTACAGAATAAAATCTATCTATCTAGTTCACCAAACTATCAATGTTAAGAGTGGAATTTGTTATTCTTGATTAATATAACATGGTAAAGTTTAGTTTTTAAGGAAGATATCGTTCAGACATGAGTTAAAAGGTGCATTATTAGCAATAGCATCAGTATCAGTTTACTGATAAGCAGAAGCAAAGGGTTATGTCCAATATACACGAGATTAGTTTTTCAAGACAGGATAATAAGTTCGTTATCTTACTGTACCGTGTAAATTACATTCTATGTTATGATTTAGAAAGTATCAAAAAAATATGTCTAGTACTTTTAGCTTATTCAAAGTTAATAAACAATCAATATTTTCTCTTTGTAATATTTATAGACTTCTACATGTTGAGGCTGTCTGACCAAGAAAAGAAGCTAGTTCTGTATATACCTGGTTTGAGAAACTAGCTTCGTGTATCACGGGAATTATAAATTATCTGTTTATAACGCTTTTTTTCAATACATATAAACTCTACCTTCCAAAACCGCCAAACGACGCCGCTTGACTCGCCGATTGCGAAGCGCTAAAGCCATTGTTGAATCCAAACGAGAAAGACTGTGAGGCTGACTGACTGGCCCCACCGAAGCTGCCGCTACTGCTGACACTAGCAGTCAGTCCTCCATTACCAGGGCGCACGTTGAATCCACCACCGAATCGGGGTTTCACAGTGTTAGTCCGAGGGCTGTTACTCCTTTCGTTCGGTAACAACGTACTGGGATCACGCTCCAAATGCTCCAGCACGGGTAACACAGGCGGCGTGATGATCGGCTCCAACTTTCTCTCCCTTCGATCGTCGGGGAACACGAATCCCTCGGCCGGCGCCGGCGACGCGATTCTCGCAACATATGCGAGGCAAAAGCAGAAGATGAACTTCTTGTTTGACATTATTGGTAGCACTGGTCTCATTGTCGCGGTATCTTGTATTAATAGGGCCGTGCGAGGTCGCTAACGGTGTTGGCATGCGGCGCGCGCCGCAGCCTTCAAAATATCCACTGCGCCGTGCCGGAGACGACGTCCACCCAACTATACATCCCCTCTCATCTCACACACAGCCGGTCCTCGTTTTACGACATTTTTTAAGTCATGTAACACTACCACGTCATTTAGAAGCCGGGCGCCTTACACCCACTTATGCAAAATCATGTGACATCAGTTAAGCTCACGGCAAACATTAACAGATATTATTAACTTTTGTAATCATTCTCATTTCTTGATTTATAGAGGAAACATTTATATAAATAATGTTTTGCCTAAATCTTTTAAGGAATTTTAGCATAATTTTATCATTATTTTAAGATTGAGGTATGCGAGAAAATAAATATATATATTAAAGATTGAATACCGCAACGGACGTAACGGATCTTATCTATGAGACTTATTTTAGTGTTTGTCTGATGACCGATAAAAAATGTGTAAATTGAATAACGACATGTATTAGAAAAAGGAAAAAATAACCTGTGTTTTTTTATCCGATTATACCATTAAAAACTTGTCTCACTAACCTGGAGATATGATTACAAACGTAGTCTACGTTTGTTTGTAATCATATCTCCAGGATATGCAATATCGACTTGGCTAGCGATCGTTAAATAGCGATCGCGAAAACTTCTTACGAAACTATCATATTTGATCGCTAAGAAACTAACGTAATATCGATAACTTGACAGTTGAATTTGCTAAAACAAAAAATGTTTTGTTTTTATTTACTTGCAGAGACTTTCGTAAATCATTAGAGTATGACTGCTATGATTTAGTAACTCGGAATTGAGTTAGATTACGACTGCAAACTTTGTAGAGGTAACATATCCTGGTTTAATAATAACTAATTGATTCCTTGTCATTAACTCCTAAAAATAATTGGACCGATTACAAACATATATGATAAAAATAAAAATGAGATAAAAGAGTTAATATATAATTATTTTGAAATTCAAATTCTAAAATTATCCATTGAGGTAGGTGAATTAGAGTATCCATCTGTAACGGTGTGCCATGCCACCGTTTGTTTTCCTAGGTTTCAGTATGCAAACTTTTTGCTTTTGAAATTCAACATCATTTCATTTTACTATTCGTCTTTCGTAATTTAAAATTTTGACTAATCAATTTTACTCTTTATGGATGTCAGTTCGTAAGAAATTCTCCTATACACAAGATGAAATTATAATATAATACAATATTATTGGTATAAATTTTACTATGTAATTTTAATAATTCATATATTATGGTGATACAATAATATAACATATTTACTAAATTAAAACTGTATTTTGTACGATCCAAAAGTGTAACAAGAAGCCCGACAAGGGGTATGTATTCGTTTATTTGATAAGAATGTATTAGTTTAAGTAACTTACGAACTGTTTTTTAAATTTATTTTTGTTTGTTACAGTTTTTTATTATTACCCTTATTTCATTAATAAATTATACTCAAGCTGATCAGCCTATTTAATTGACGAAGCACCGAACCCGTAACACATCTTTGTCCATTAACGGCAATACCTACATCACTATCTTCTATTTTATCACCTAAATTACTAATGGAACATATACATGTCTATGCTAGTGAAGCCCTATCACTACATAGTATAAAACAAAGTCGCTTTCTCTGTCTTTATATCCCTATGTATGCTTAAATCTTTAAAACTATGGAACGGATTTTGATGCGGTGATTCAAAAGGAAGGTTTTTATTTATAATATAGAACAACGCGGGCGAAGCCGCTGGCGGAAAGCTAGTTTATTTATATTAACTACTTGATCGTTCTAAGTTACATAGCGGGAAATCTTAGGTAGTAATGCGTAGGAGGTTATTGGGAAATCCAAAGACCTACTATGTAAGAAGTTTTTATGGAAGCGGATCACGTTGGAATGACTTCAACAGGATCCCGAGAATATTAACGGTCCGATATGATAACGTAATCTTATTGATTGTATTGTTAAGATGAAAGCGTGAATGTTTATTTTTTTTTTATTGATAACAACAAGACAAATACAACTCAATTATATAATGTAATTTTATCAGCCATAAAAACATCAAAAGTCAAATTCAAATTGTTCTTATAATTTTATTGTTTAGATAATATATAAAAAATCGTATACGGGACTTCTTAATTTTATTCCATAAAAATTATATTTTTCTGTGGGTTTTGAAGTAGTCATAAAAAGAAATTATTATCTAGTGAGGTATATAGACAGACAATGAAAAAGCGAATATATATTAAAATTAAATATACAAGCAATAAACATAAAGGACAAATACAGACTGTTTGTTATTTTTGTACCTTAATTTCTAAAGATCTAAGGTTAATAATTAATTAGATGGTTATAAGAAACTACTAATATTACAAAAAAAAAAATTGACGTCGTAGATAAATTATATGTAATTACAGAAAGCATAAACTTCAATACATCGATGTCATTATAAATAAATGATTGCTATATAATTCGATTATTCTGACCTCTGTAGGTCATCGACATAAATTGGCGTTCTTTTTTTTAAAAAAAAAAACGCTTTTTGTATGAAATTCACGGTATTTAATTTAAATTGTTATATTATATATATATAAGTACTACCTTTCCATTTATGTTAATCCAGGCTTAGAATTTAATTAATTAATTAATTTGAATAAGGTTTCATATTATGATATTGATATGATTACAATGACATTTTGAATAGGAAACATTTTAAGTCCCTAAACAAACTTCCGCTCCCATTTTCATCCCTTCATTTGCTGTTTTTCGAGATAAAATATAGCTTGTGTCCACCGCACATGATATAGCTTCCCGTAGATGAAATAAATTTTATTATCGGTCCAGTAATTTCAGAGCCTATTCGGTGTAAGCAAACAAACAATCAAACTTTCCACTTTATAAGATTAGTATAGATTTTATGTTTTCATTATTATTGTAATACGTACTTACCTTTTTGCTATTCAATATGGCTAAATAGGTCAAAGCTCTCACTAAAATTAAATATTATCACTGTACATATATATAAAACGATATTAATGTAAAGTCGATAATAATGTAACATATTTTGTAATTTTGTATAGATATAAAGTATCCGTGTTTTTGTTCAATATTAATATATTGCAGAAAAAAACACGGATTACAGTTACAATAATAAATCGAAACCATAGTGAGTTCTAATTTATTCTAACAGATGCTACTTGGTGTGAAAAGAATAAAAAATATAATTATATCTCTTAGTAGCTGGAAAAATTAACTTTAATGGACTGTACATTTAAATTAATTATTGTGTGCCAAATATATAAATATTTAATGCAAAGGAAAACAACTGATCTATTATGACGGCTGTTTAATAAGAAAAAGCTGTCTTTAGGATATTAAAATGTGGGAAAAATACAAAGACAGCTGGAAAACTGGATGGAAATATGCACTCACTCTGGTTGCTGATTGATACTAGAAAACCATCCACCGGTTCAATGGCGGTCGAAGTCCTAAAAAGCACGTGCTCAACCAAATATCTTCTAAGCTGCAAATGTTCTCTTAATAGTACAATCTTGTAAACAACATATTTTAATAACTTGGGCTTAACACTCACGACGAATATAGTATTTAAAAAAAACTTGACACAGAGCAAGCAATGCGCTCCGAGAGAGTTCAATTTTAGAGATGTGCATATTATGATAAGGAAGTGGGTAGGAAACGTAAAACAGCTGTCATAAATTTATTAATTTATTAAAGCACACCTACAAAGTAACAATAACTAACAGATGGCTCCACCTACATCTGTTGTTGAAAATATAAAATTTTAAATATTACACTCACAGAAATTAAATATATATCTTTTTTTCATATATATCTTGGTTCCATCCTCCTGAGGGTCAAAGTACTAATCCTAGAACAAAATGATTTTGCAGTGACGGCCCAAGTTTTAAAGTAGCGACTTCATCCTAAGACCCTTTGTGCTGATATTAGAACAAAACATTTTCGGTCATTTGCCAAGCTTAAATATATTTTTTTTTTATGGAATAGGGGGCGACTGCCCCCTATTTCATAAAGGCGGATCACCTGATGGTGAGTGATTACCGGAGGCGGATCACCTGATGGTGAGTGATTACCGCCGCCCATGGACACCTGCAGCACCAGAGGAGCTACAAGTGCGCTGCCGGCCTGATTTCGGTTTTCTGTCAAAATATATAATGGAGTTGGCACATTTTACGAGGAGAGACTACTTTAATTTATTTATATCTCTGTAGTCTTTGTGATTCTCTTTTAGTTTCTTGTTCTTTATTACAGATAAAGAAATCCATTTCACGTAAACGCAATTATTTTTCCGTAATTTTGTCAATATATATGTAAATAATTATTGGTGATATTTTTTTGTACTAATACCAGTACACCGTCCAATTTATATGGTACAATTTATTTGATACGATTTTTTAATTAATACTCAAAAGTCCGGGAATTTATATTTTTAATTAGTTTTCATTTAAAATTCGCCAACCTGCATGTTCCAATCGGTTAATGTTAGCGTATTGTGGTATATAGAAAAAAACTCAAAATATTTTCTACTAATATTATTTCTTTTCAGTTCAAGGCCAGGCTCAAAATCTCCTTTTGAGAGCTCTAAAAGATAAACAAGTACTGGCCATACTTTAGTAATATGATTTAGAGCACAACGAGGAAGATACTTTTGCAAGTCTAGGTCAGAAGTGACTCGATTACGATATTTAGTTACTTTTACAAATTTTGAGATTTTTATGTTTCTTTCTTTAGTAATCTAGTGTGGTAAATTTAATATCAAAATGATAAATAGAGACTGAGCTGAACTTAAGTTTAATTTAGTGTAGATGTACCTTTTTTAAAACAGGGCTGCAGGAGGATTTATATAATAAATATCTAGAGTACCGGGACTTGATTTCATTGTTAAAAGTTTTATCTG